CATGTCATAAGCATCTCTAATTAACACTTAAATCACAACTCTAAATAAACCAAGTTATTTTCTCTCTCTAGCTCTTGGGATGGGTAAAAGACCATTTTACCCCTCCATGGTCTCCACAAACCTTGTCTTGACCAAACCCTTAAGTCAACAGAATTCAACACTCGAGTCAACATTCCATGTTGACCCGAATCGTCAAGTGAATCTATGTGACTCATCAAGTTCCCTTGTTCCTTCAGCAATGTTGCGAAAATCCAACTTAACTCATCGAGTTGTCTCATCGACTCGCCGAGTTACTCATGTCCTGACTCGTTAGGGAAAACCCTAGCCGACTCGTCGAGTTGGCTTATCAACTCGTTGAGTCCCTTAAGTATATTTTCTCATTCAGACGTTTTAAGGCAGAGTTACAACCCCAAACTCTAGATCTAGCCTTACATGGCTGAGATACCATGTAAAGCTGCAAGCTTTACTTCCATGCATGGCACTTAGGGCTTGAAATGCCAAAACAAGTTCCATTTAGAGTCCTAAGCATAAAAGATCTCCTCTAGCTTGATAAAGCTTGGACTTTTGGGCTTAAGGGACCTTATAAGGTCCATATCTGAAGTCTCAATCTCTTGGCAAGCTCAAAATACTCAAAGTCTCAAGGGAACCCATACATACTTCCTTCTTCTATACACAGACGATATATAGGTGTCGTTTATTATTTGAAGCGAAAATGTTTGAAGTCTGCAGACCACCTCTGCAACCCTCTATAGCAGAAAAGGGGGACCAAACGGCTGCAACATGTAATAAAAGGTTTGTTTGTTTTTTAACCTCTGCAGACTACGGCAATAAGTTAAAGTAAGGTGTGAAGAGGTTTAAACAAGAGGGTCAATTATTGCGCCATGTAGTACATGCGCAACAGTTTTTAAGTCAGAAGTCTTCTAAAAAACAAAAAACTGCGAAGGGCCAAGTGCTACACGTGTGCTGTGCGGCACAACGATAAGTGGTTAGAAGAGGTTTTATAGAAAAAAACAAACAACACCTTACTCATCACCTCCTCACCCGGCTTACATCATGAGTTTATGGGTCTATTAGAAAAAGAGTTTTCCATGAAAGATCTTGGACCCCTAAACATTTTCTTGGAGTTTCAATGTCTCGTTATAAAGATTCATTTTATTTGTCACAACAAAAATACGCCACATAAATTTTGGAACGAGCAGGAATGACCTCTTGTAACCCAACTTCCACACTAGTTGAGTTAATAGTAATGCCAAATTGAGCAGCACCGATGGAACTCTTTTACCTGACCGGGGAATACATTAACTTTGGCAGTGGCTCTCTATTTGACTTTTACATGACCAGACATAAGTTACGCGGTTCAACAACTTTGCATGCATATGCATGCACCCCAAACATCTCATTTTAATGTTTTTAAACGATTTTTAGGTATATTAAAGGTACTCTTGCTCACAAGTTGCATCTTCACAAATCACCGTCCAAGAAACTTGTTGCCTATACTAATGGCGATTGGGCAGGTTGCCCGGACACGAGACGCTAAACTTCTAGTTACTGTGTCTACTTGGACGATAACCTAATATCCTGGTCCTCCAAGCATAAACCAACACTCTCCCGATCTAGTGCCGAAGCAAAATACCGAGGAGTTGCAAATGTCGTTTCCGAAACATGTTGGATCAGAAATTTGATGTTGGAGCTTCATGTCCCCCAACTACAGTCACGCCAGTCTACTGCGACAACATTAGCGCCGTTTACTTATCCTGCAACCTGGTTCAACATCAACGTACCAAGCACATCGAGCTCGACATTCATTTCGTTCGGGAAAATGACGTTAGGGGTCAAGTCTGTGTATTCCACATTCCTTATCCCTATCAAATTGCGTATATCTTCACAAAGGGTCTACCTTTCATTCTCTTTGACTATTTTAAAAACAGTCTCAACGTTCGTCATTCTCCCGATTCGACTATGGGGGTATATTAGCCGAAGATATCCTTCCTCATATTGAGGAAGTATTGTTATAGTTGATAGATCTTATCTTTATTGTAGATAGCGACAGGATATGAGACACGGAAATATACCAATTTAACAGTAAAAAATCTGTGTAATCTTTTGAAGAAATTGGATGTTACACGCATGATGAAATTATTTATATTTAAACTCTTTTCCTCGAGTAGTTTTGATAGTTGACAAGTACTCTTTTATTTCCAATTGTCAATCATTCAAAGTGTTCATCGATTTTGAAATATTAATCTAAATTGGAATTACACAAGACGTCATGAAGATAATGAAAACATATATAAAGCTTTTGACTGAAAATTTATTTCAGAGTCACTTTAATCAAACAAATGCATGAAGGTAATGTTAAGTGATGATAAATTTATTATGTGTCTTGGTGTCACAAAATCTGAACTAGAATATATATTTTTAAGGAAAAGTGTTTAAATTTGGTCTAAAATTTTGATTTTACTTTAATTAAGCTGAAATGTTCATCTCACAAAGAACAAACCATTGTATGATAATATAACGAATCCAACCCAAAAGGTTGGCTGTTGCTATAAGGTGTTAAATATGGCATAATCTCCCTTGTTGTAATAAAAGAATTAAAAAGCAAAATTCATTAAGATATTTGTACTATATGGTAGCTAGTTGCTAGTTTCCCTATCTACCATGCAATATTGATACTGTAATTTCGTTTATGGTCATGAAATCATCTTGTTGGCTTGAAGACTCTGTTTCAGTATTTCTTCTTCTAATAAAGAATCCAGAATACTTTGGTGGTGATATTTGTACAGTTTCACTACACAATAAAAATAACACCTTTGACATATTAGGTCTATCTTCTGGATGTTCTTGAACACATAATAGTCCAATTTGTATGCATCTCAATACTTCATTCTCTGAAAATTTGGCCCCCATAGATTTGTCTACTAGTTCTAAAGCCTTGCCTTCTTTCCATAAAGTCCAGGTCTAAAAACATTATCTTTGTTACACATAGGATAATTTAATATGATTGAAATAAAATGAACAAAATAATGTAATGAGTCATTACATTATATAATTTGAGTGGAAGGAATAGATTATTTTGTTGGTTCTTTATTATTTACTATGTGTAAGACACATCTATTACATGGGTTAATTAAAAAAAATTAAATATAAAGGTCTAAATATTTAAAAACATTGAATTTATAAGTAAATAAGAAAAATAATAAATTATTAAAATTGATTTTTTTTTATCTTTTAAATTTAAATAAATAAAGAAAATAAACTAATGAGCTTTAATTTTAGAATTTTGAAATAAAAAAGTAAATCTATTAATGAAATTGATATTTATTTATTACTACATTTATTATAATTATATTATGTGGAATTTATTAAAATAGAAAAACCCACAAAATGACATGTGGAAAAAAAATTAATTCAAAATAACTATAAAATGACATTTGACAAATTGAATGAGAGTGTGACATGTGACAAAAAATAAAAACTTTCATTTATTAGAATAGATTTTTTTTAGAAAACCAAATGAAATTAAATTGAAGATAAAGAAAAGTATTTTAGTTTATAAACATAAACTTTGATCTTACAAAAAAAGTTTATATGACAAACAAATTACACATAAACATGTTTCATGTCATATGAAATATATTCAATATGTATTTCAAATAGTGAATAAAAGTTTATTTAACTTTAAAAACTCTTTTATAAAAATTAAACAAATAAAATTAAGTATCATGAAATCAAAAAATATAAATATAATAACAAAAAAATCTTAATTTTTTAATTAACAAAAAAATCTTAATTTTGATTAATCAATGAATGTTCAGTTTCATTTTTACTTGCAAACAAACATGCCAACATAAAGCTCCATTCCATTCTTTTTATTACTATATATAAAATGTTATCTTAATGCTTACTTCTCCAAGGAGGTTATGTTGGCTACTCGAGTAAGATGATCCTGTGTTCCTTTTACCGCTCACTATCTCAAGAACCAAAACCCCAAAACTAAAAACATCTGATTTTGTTGAGAAATGTCCATCCATTGCATATTCAGGAGACATATAACCACTACATGACATTTAAGAAAAATTATAAGTCTAAAAAATATGATATTGTTTTTGCATATATAAAGTACATTGATACTTACTATGTTCCAACCACTTTCTTTGTTTTCGCATCGGTTTGATCACTTCCAAAAATCCGTGCCATACCAAAATCAGATATCTTTGGGTTCATATCTTTATCGAGCAAAATATTACTAGCCTTTAGATCTCGATGAATGATTTTAAATCTTGAATCTTGATGAAGATAAAGAAGCCCTCGAGCAATCCCACACATGATCTCAAGTCTGCTTTTCCAATTGAGTGTCATGCTTTTCTCTTTCTCTATAACAATTCCAAAGAACAAGTTAGGTTCGAGTAAGAAACTTTGCATCAAAAGGAAAAAATAAAGCCTGGGAAAACATACCAAAAATGAACATATCAAGACTTTTATTTTCCATGAATTCATAAATTAATAACTTCTCTTCGGCTTCAATGCAACAACCTAATACCCGAACAAGGTTTCGATGTTGCAGTTTCGCGATTAATCGTACCTCGTTTTTTAGTTCCTCAATCCCTTGATCAGAAATTCTTGAGAGTCTTTTTATCGCTACAACTTCACCTTCCATTAATTTACCCTATATTTATAATGTATACACTCATGACAACTACTTATATTTCTTTGATAATAACCACACAATATATATTATGAAACTTATAAAATATATTATGCTATTTGTTACCCTTAATAATAATCTACTTACATGTCTTTACGATAATATTATAGTAACATAAGTATATTATTTACTCTTAATAGCAATGGCTTTAGTTTTTTTACCAATCAAAATAATCTTTAGTCTAACACTTGCTAGTATTTTGTAACTTTTATGTTACATGTATGTTGCTATTATTGCTATTAGAGAGGTGGGTATGGGCAACGCTACAAGGGGAGTTATTGGGTGTTATTGCGTGTTATAACACGTGAACACCGCCCCCTTCCCCGTTATCAGGCGTTATTAGCCTGCGCGTTACTCTCAGTTACCACCATAACATGTTATAACGCGTTTTTTTTTGTCCTTTTCCTAATATCGTTGGTGTGGGCGTTAACCACACCTACCAATCTTATGAGTTAAGAATATAAGTACATTGCTATCGTGACTTAAAAAAACGTATGTCGCTTTTTTTGTATGTTAGCATATTTTAAATTTAAATGTTAATATGTTGCAAATACTTTACCTTGTAAACACACCCGAACCCGCCTTGTCCAAGTTTATTTTCATTTGAGAAGTTGTTTGTGGCCGTAACAAGTGTTGAGAAATCAAACAGAGGTAATTCTAGTTCATCCATCTCTCTTTTATTTGGCACAACACTCCCATCATTTAATAAGAAATCTTCGGCTCTTTCTCGTGGACCTAATTTGTATCAGAATTAAATATATCAATCACATATTAGAAAACAAGGGTAACGAATATCACAAACACCAGGTTCTTAAGATTAATTGAACTTATACGAGTTTGCATTCTGCACCTCTCAAACTCGTAACGTAGTAGAAATTGAGCTTAACTTATCTAAAGTTAATTATGATTATACTAAATAGTTTGATGACACAAAATACTCCAACAAATTAGGACCACAAACTTTTTTGACTGTAGGGGTTAATGAGAGTATGAATTATTTTCTAAATTACTTTAATTATACTGGTTTTAGACTTATAAACTAAGGTGTTTGACTCTTCAAATTGAAAATTACCTTTTGTCTCTGCCTCTGCTTTCTTCGACAATCGTATCTTCTTCTTCCTCAAGTAAAAGAGTATCAATAGAACTGTCACCAGCGCAAAAACACCGATGCTAATGGCGACAGGTTTGACAACTTTGTTGTCACTACTAGAGCCATTTTTAGACCTTTTAATCATCGGTGTTTTGTCTGTAGTTAATAAGTTCATACTTTTAATCATCGATGATTTGAAATGGGTTTCAAAATCAGGTTTATATGGGTTTGAGACGAGTCAAATTAATTTTTAATAATAAAAGACTACAAACTATCATTAATGTAAAAATGGTCATTTCATGTATGGGTAGGACAAAAATCATGAAAATATAACACAGTGACATGTAATTGAAAATCTTTGAAATATGTTCAATTACATGCCACTAATAAGAAATATTTTCAATTACATGCCTTAATTATCGTTTAGTAAACTCAAAATCTCAGTCAATCTTTGAAAATTAGGATACTACATCTTTCAAAGATTTTCAAAGCTTAAATAGTTCACAAATTTGCATAATTGCAAATTTAAAACGTGGACGAACTTCAATTCCCTTGTTTCTAGAATATTGAAAATTCAACTTTATAATGCTGTTTAGATGATTAATTAATCTTTTTTTAAATAAACTATCATTTAACACATTATCAAAAGGTTTGATCGAATGCCTAAAGGGTAGGAATCTGTGCATTGTAACTTGTACGATACAAGTTTTTACTGCACGAATCTTCACCTTCGACATTCTGGAGTTAGAAAGTAGAAACACATACCCAAATCAGAAGCTGTAACTCTAACGTAAAGATCTTGTCCACCACCTTCAAAATCAGCATACTGCCTCATATCGATGAGATCCACTTCCCAAATCACACAACCCGACCCGCCTTCAGTGATATTCATATTAGCATAAGCCACACAAGAGCAACTCCTCTTGCAAATCTCACCACACTCGCTCAGATTCATCGTCTGATTAACAATCGCCTTCGAACTCTCCGGCAATTTCATGTGCTTCAACAGCAGAAATTCATCCGACCCACAATCCAATTCGGAGCTCCGAACACATCCATCAGACCCATCTCGTAGATCCCATGCTTGTTTGTTTTTCGGCCGGAATCCTGTCATACAATTACAGACCGGTGCAGTGGTTGCATCACAAACGCCGAACGGACCACATTCACCAAAGTGATCGCATAAATCACCGGGAAAAGCCCAGAATACATTCCAAGTTTTTGTTGTTTCTGCCCAAACAAGTCTTTCACTTATACCAGAAGAAATTATAACGACTCGCGAATAAACAGAACTATTGGGTATTTCAAAAGAATAAACAATCTCCTCGGAATTCTCCTGAAATTCAAAACGCAAAATACTCACCCCATTCATCTCCGGTGTACCGCTGAAAGTTCTCCCGTTCCAGGGCCCACTCCGCCAAGTTATATTTTCATTGTTAGTTGCCAAAATTTCCGGGAACCCACTGATATTCAGTTTAAAAGAATAATCACCGGTCGCCGGATTTTCATTCGTCTTCCACGACTTCAGAAACCGATTAATTCCAGATTTCCTGTCCCACCCCAGTTTCATCTCCGGCAATAGAGTATCAGTCGGATAATCAAAGCTTTGCCAAATGTAATTCTCCGGGTTCTCATCATTTTCCGGACGAAGCACAAAGTTACCATTGTCCAAAAGCTGCGCCACCGTCTTCACCACCGGTGTAGATTGATTTGACGACCAGACGATGGTTCCCGCTTGATCTACCAGCACCATGTTGCCGTTGTCGACGATGGTTAGGTTCCCGGAGGATGAAGTAATGGGGGTATCTCTGTTAGCTACCCAAACATATGTTATGGGTTGTATTTGTTTATACCAAATTCCTATATACAGATTATTGCTTGTGTTGAAGAAACCCAGCTCGAAAACTTCACCATTAGAGACTAGAGTTTGATTGATGGTGAGGGGTTGTGTGGGTGTGATGGTGTCAATGGCTACACAGAGAAAAGGGTAGAATAGAAAGAATGTGAAGATGAAGGTGCTGACATGGCTATGGAGGGTTTTCATTCTCTGAAAGTTACAAAGATTTTCATTCTCCGAAAGTTGGCTCTCATCTTTAAAGAATTCGTGGAAATGGTGGAACAAACCTAAGATGTCGGTGTTATATTTTCTTATAAAATAAATTGAGTACTTTGACCAGTTAAAGATTCTTTTAAAAATGATGAATTACTATTGATCAAGATATAAGTCATGTGAATCACATCATATTTCTTCAAATTTAAAGGTCGTCAAGGAAAAGTATGATTAAGATAACAACTTGATTATACTACAGGATTAATTAATTACTTGATAGAAATAAACTATGATTTAAGTATATATTTAGTTAGTTTACTGTTTTTTATACACGATTCACACCATTAAACCCCAAACCCCATATTATTGTTCAAAACCTATGATTTGGACTAGATATTGTAATTTAATGTTTCTTATTTGGCATCTATGTATCTAAAGGTGTATTAATTAATACTTGATATTAGGAACTTATACAAAATGTTTCACTCATCTAATTAACTTGGATCATTTCAGACTCACATATCTTTATCTCTCATCACACAGTCACTTTTGTTTCTTCATCTCTCATCATTCCAATGTTAACCTTCACAATGACATTGGTCGCTACTCGCTAGGTCTCTTTTTCTCTCTTCTCTCTTCCCTCTCACACCTGTCTTTCTATACTTTAACTCTCATTCTCACAGTCTCTTCTTTTCTTTCTATTTCTCTTTCGTTTGTACGTACTTGAAGTAATATATGTACATGAGTACTGAATTATACATTGCACCTGTCTTTTTATCTCTGGTTTCTCACACATATCTTTCTAACTGTGATATAATAATCTTCAATACCGTTATTTTTGTAAAACATCGAAATTAACCAAAATTTTATAGAACGCGAAGATGGTGTTTGAGTTTCCACATTATGATAATCTTGATTTCTATGTACCTGAGCTTAAAATTAATCAAACTTTATCATTTCTTTTAACTTTTATCTATATATATATAATATTTGATGTAAATCTAAACATAAAATGAATCATACTTTGATATTTGATAATATTTATTCTTAAAAAAATCGTTCAATTTATCCTCGTCTAGGTTGATTAATCATTTGATCTCTTGTGTCAACCGTCTATCTATTTTTACAACCTTAACGGTTGATAGTAAAACATCATTTCCTGTGATGTTTAATGGAAACATGTGAAATTTATTTGATGGACATTTGCATGAAAATCGATAATAAACAAGAGAAACAAGTCCCGCTTCCATTTAATATGCACCAAAGTTGTCCCAAACATAAACATAAACGAAATGTGTATATCATGTTTGTACAAAAGTTGTGTCCATATGTGTCAAAAGTTGTACAATTACAAAATTTGTGCTATAACAAAAGACTACTAGTTTGTCTTGATCGATTATTTACATTATTCTTTAGAGAAAGATAACACCATTCTCAGCACCATGGCTACCCTCTAAACCTTATAAAATTCAATAGTTTTTTATGAAGTTGCTTTCTTTCCCTCGTTGAAAGCTAGCAGTAAGAATTTCACATAGAACTTAGCCAAAATTCTAGTGCCTCCTTTCGACTACTACAATTAATCATTGAACCCGAGTATAGAAATCTCTTTACAAGATGTTGTAGACTTGTAGTCTTCGAATGCTCGTTAAATGCAAAATCATTTAATCATTTCGGGATAACCACGAATAAGTCTTTGGTATAAGAAATGTTTCTAGATGTTTACTAGTTTTTAAAATAATAAAATATAATCACACAAACTGATTACCAAATCAACAACCTTCGTAATTTCAAATACATCTTACATTATATTCTACATTATATTACAAATTGGTTATTTAATGAATTAATATAATATAGTCGCTTTCAAAAGGAAGAAAATCTAATATCTATATCAATTTATATTTATATGTATTTCTATATCTATATCTATATATTTTTATTTTTATAATTTCTATGATAAAATTTATTCAAAAATCATTTTTATTCAAAATATACCATCCTTTTAAACTGGCACATAAGTTCAACTTGTTCCATTATGGATTTGTCAATAGAAATACTTTTATAGAGTTCACAGTAATTGTTAATAGAAATATTTTATATAGTACTTCACTATTTTTTATAGTTTTTCTTACTAATTTATTTCTTTCATATAACTTCAAATTTGAAAAGTCTAACGTTATGAAATGGTTTATTACTTAAAGTCTTGAAGTGACAATTTTTACACATTATAGAAATAATGAGTAGATAGATGTTTACTATTTTCAATAAGTCAAGTTGACTTATCAAAAGATAGATTGTTATTATGGTAATTTTGTTTTCAAAACCTATTTAATATAACAATTATTTATATAATTTTAAAGTAAATGAGCATATAATTTCAAAACACACACACACACACATATATATATATATATATATATATATATATATATATATATATATATATATATATATATTCATTTTGATAGTACAAACGTTAATTTTAAATATTCAGTAGAACCTTTATAATTTACTCGATAAATTAATAACCTCTATAAAATTAATAATTTGTTCGATTCTAATTTGAAACCAGTACAAAATTGGATCCTCAATCGATAAAATAATTTTTTTTTATGAAATCATGATGTAAATATATTGGTCCTACAAAACTATAAATTAATAATTAATAAAATATTTCAAAATTTTAGAATTGTATAGTAAAAAATGAATCTATAGTCACTTGTTTTTTTGTAAATTTCAAATCTATATTGAGTTTATCTTTAAATCTGTTAATTGCATTTAAGAGTTGGGGCACTGTATTCTCAATTTCTCTATGATTAACTATCATGATATATTCACATGCTCTTGATGTTAGAGAAATCATTCATAAACAACTTTCTTCATGTCCGAATATTTGGCAGCTTTGAGAAGCTTGGAAGATCCATCTTTGTCAAAATTAGCGGATAGGAACTCCGGTGATTCTTAAGAGTGTTTGATACTGTTCATTAACTAACTTTCAAATCGAAAGTTTTGTCAACCAACTTCACCAAATCTTGTTGAGTGCATCCTTGGTGATCTCTCTGAACCTCGCATAATAGTTTTCATTGTTGATTGGTCACTGTTGATTTTTAACACATTTTAGTTTAGAAGCCATAGTTGATGTGATTTTAAAATTTATCATTAGATATTTTATAGTAATTAATCTAGATCTATATACATTGAACTTCACAAATTCATTAATGTGTGAATATTAAATTGAAGGTCCTTATTTATGTTTTATTCAAATAGGTAGAGTGAACGGAAAAGAAAATTTTGAAGGTCGATTCATTAACTTGAGAGTTGCTCATGAATATAAAGTCAACTCTTTAAATTAAGAATTTATTAATTTATTGGTATAATAATATCTTGCTAAATTAATAAAATATCTTAATCCAAACATTATAAATTTATAGAGGTTTTACTGTAACTATACAACATTCTTTTTAGTCAACAAACTGTTATTAGAATTTGTTAGTTAATAGATTGATAGATTATTCTTATATTTGTTTTGTTATTAGCAATAAAAAAAATTAGTATTAGTCTGAGTATCATGGATGTTAAATATGATTTTGTCTATTCTTATGTAATTAAATGTTAGCTCTTTGTTTATCTTTTCTAATAAAACTATCCAACAGTTAAAAAAAAAAGTAATTCTTCATAGTTGTTATATATATATATATATATATATATATATATATATATATATATATATATATATATATATATATATATATATATATATATATATATATATATATATATATATATATATATATCAAACATAATATTGGATATTATTCGTTGGTTTGAGTCTCTTTATCTCTCTGTCACCTCTTTCATCTCTCTCAGGCCTTCAATCCAATCTGAATCAAATGAGTTCAAAGTTTAACCTAATTATTGGTTTATAATTTTAATATCTACTGACTTTTTTGTGATCCATATAATATTTGATTTAATGATTGTAAATAATTAGTCATTTTTCACTTACTTATAGTTTTTAACATAATTTTTATATGGTAATTTTAAAAAATCTAATTTGTATCACCATTTAACCTTAAAAGTTATTATAAACGACCACCTTGGGTTTTTTACGCAAACTATCATTCCTATGCAATTAATATGCCTCATCCTGTAACTAAACGATTGATGCGTCTTTCCATGTGTATGTATGTTCATGGAGTGGCAGCTGAAAAACAAAATATTTTTGAAAAAAATGTATGAACGTGCCACATGGTGTTTTTTTAAGACTTCTCTCCAATTTTTCCATTATTTACTTTATTGCAACTATTCTAATTGTTTCGTTTCATTTTAGTATATTACCTTATTCTTTTCATCATATAATTTAAGGGTTATAAAAGATAAATTTTGAATGTCATTTATATAAGTTTTTTTTGAAGTATTATTATAAATGATAAAAGAACTGTCATATGTAAAATTTATAATCAATTACTATGATTTTGTTAAATTTATGAAATTTTATAATTGTTTAGACTTTGAATATAGGTTATGTGATACTAAATTTGAATTAGGTAGATTTATTGTGGATTACATATGAATGAGTTAATTTTTTTGTTTGTAAATTACATTTTTTTTTTAATCTTTTTTATTAAAATGAAACGGTAGACCATTTTAACCAATTTATATGACCTGGTCATATAGTTGATCTAGTGCCCTCAACATATATTTTTTTTCTAGATCCATCACTACCCCCTCATTGTTATGATACAAGTGATCAAACACGCAATATAACAAACTGAAACATAAATAAATCGAATTTATATATCAAAGATTTCACAAATCGGAATACATACTTGAATGTTGATGTTTACAATAGAATTACAACCATGGAAATATGTAGATTGAGGCCTACAATCTGTAGTGTCTTAAGACAAAAATTGCATTGGTATGGGTCTGTCTTGAGGATACAAGAATCAATTTAATAACAAATCTTGAATATATTGAAAATCATTGTGCTT